TCTTTCCAGAACAGCTTCTAGCTCCTGATTCTTTAGAACTGTCAGCACCAGGATTTTGAGGCCTGATGGCTTTAGGTGAAATGCAAGGTCAAGCTAGGTTGATTTAGTGCATTATTAGCTGTTTATACAGTACTGAAGCAGCACATGACGTATGAAAAATGACTTTCCGATCTCAGGGAATAAATCAGGGCCAGCAAGTGATTCCACTTAATACTTAACTTTAGCTGGTAAAATATTACACCTGTTATTATTCAGGGCAAACACGGCCCCTTCCATTTGTTTATTGAGGAAACAATTTATTTGAGGACATTTAATTGCAATAGTGAAGCCTGACTTGGGGGTTAATCCCAGTTTATCGATGCAATTAAAAGCAGTGTGTGCTGTGTCTCATATTTATTATCTAGAGGTAGAATGTTGACAGAACATGGGTGTTGAGCCCTTGTGCTTGAGAGTATCTGTGTTGCGTGAGGTGCAAGGTGGGGGCCGCCGGCATGTGTCCCGCGAACATCATTCTTTGTGCTTTCTGTAAGCGTTTGCGTAACCTAATTGGGGAAAGGCTCTAATTTGATTTTACTTGGAGTAATATGGTTTCGAATTGTTATATAGATCAGCACTGTTTGGTTTCTTGTCAATGATTCATGGTATTTTAATGCCCACCAGACAAACACTAAAGCTCCTCGTCACACATTTGGCAGCATTCCACAATTACCTTGGCCAGAATTCCACCCCTTTTTCCTTCCTCAACTGCTAGATACCTAACCCCTCTTTCTCAGGTTTGACAAGCTCTTCCTCAGCCAAATCCCGGGTGCCTGGGCCTCTCCTCTAGTGACAAGCTCCCCGAAGCGCAGCATGGAGAGACCTGTCTCCTGGGGAGACACCCAGGGCGGGAACAGGGCCTGGGGCCCACCACCACTCCACCCCTCACCTGGGGCCACCAGGAGACAAGGCCAGAGGAGGCAATTTCAAGGATCTTAAAAACTTCTCACTTTTCCCATTAGTTATGATCTTTTTTTCTGGTCCTATCTCTGTAGTTTTATTTTGGCTTTTTAGATGTTTTCTGTAATTGTCTTCCTACTTAATATTTACCTTCCAGTGTTGGGAGCATTTCCAGAACTGCCTGCCGACTCTCTTCATGTCCTCCCTCCACCCCTCGTGTCTGCCTCCCCGCCCCCACCACCTGGACCCACCTAAGCTGTCTTTACAATCTCCTCCTCCCCTCAGCTGGCCCTGGCACTCCGTGGCTGTCCTCTGTCCACTGGTTGTCACGGGCTCGCATTGGTGGCTCTGTCTGTGCATCCCAATTGCCCTGTGGCCCTGTACCTGCTCTGTCCTCTGGATGTACTTGCTTGAACTCCAGCTCTCGAGCGACAAAGAAACCGGCTGAGAGACCAGAGGTGCTTACTTTTTTTTTTTTTTTAATCAGAAATACGGTGCACGGGGCGGTGTGTGTGTGTGTGTGTGTGTGTGTGTGTGTGTGTGCATCAGTGGCTGAGCGTCTGCCTTCAGCTAAGGTAATGATCTCAGGGTCCTGGGGTAGAGTCCTGCATCCACGGGGAGTCTGCTTCTCCCTCTTCCTCTGCCCCACCCCCTGCTTCTGCTCTCTCTCAAATGAATAAAATCTTAAAAAAAAAAAAAAAGAAAAAGAAATATGAAACTTTATCCTGCTGACAGGGCAAATCATCCCTGTGTACAGATGGCAATTTTTTCCCTCTGAGGTACTAGGACTAGAGCTGGTCTGTTGCAGAGCCACCTTTGCAAAGAGCCACCCAGCTGTTGCAAAGGGTGATGAGCAAGGAGAATCCTGAGCCACACGGGTCTGGGTTCAAATCCTGACTGCCACTTCCAGGATTTGTGGTCTGGGGGCAAATCAACCAAAACTCCTGGTTCCTCACCTGTAAAATGGACATATGACTACATATGGCAGCTGCTTGTACTAGATTTTTCAACAGTTTAAATTTCCCTTTCTCCACTGAGCTACTGTATTAAATACACACACACACACACACACATTTTAAGAAATTCCCTTATGATGGGCAGCCCCGGTGGCACAGTGGTTTAGTGCTGCCTGCAGCCTGGGATGTTATCCTGGAGACCCGGGATGGAGTCTGACGTCAGGCTCCCTGCATGGAGCCTGTTTCTCCCTCTGTCTAGGTCTCTGCCTCTCTCTCTCTCTCTCTCTCTCTCTCATTAATAAATAAATAAAATCTTTTTAAAAAATTCCCTTATGATTAAAAAGAAAATTTTTTGAAGTTTGTGATTTCATTTATTGCTTATTTATTTTTAGAGAGAGAGAGTGCATGAGGGCAAGACTTTGAGGGGAGAGGCAGAGGGAGAGAAAGAATCCCAAGCAGGCTCCACGCCCAGCAGAGAGCCCCACGTGGGGCTCGATCTCACGACCCTGAGATCAGGACCAGAGCTGAAATCAAGTCAGATTCTCAGCTGACTGAGCCAGGCACCTCTCTTTCTTATCCAGGCACCTCTCTTTCTTATTCTTATACATCATTATACTTGATCCCATGGGGTTTTCTATTTGTTTCATACACGTACTTTTCTTCTCTTCCAAGAAGGAATAAAGTTCCTTGAGCTCAGAAAGGGTATTCTAAGTTACTGCCTTATCTGTCATTCAGTATCAAGCTGGTCCCACAAAGTAGCTTCAGAAGTACTTGCTGCTTTGAGTCCCATTCAATAGCCGTTTGGGGCGGAGAGATGAGAAAGTGTATGTGGAGCTGTCACTCCAGGCAGGGAAGAGGAGGCCGAGTTCCTCTGCGGGCTGCAATGTTCCGAGAGCGCGATCTGAGGGAGCTCTTGCTGCCTGGCAGGCAGCCCACTTTGGGGCATTATGAGGGCTCCTGGGCTTTGCCGGCCTATCTTAGGCCATTGTTCTGTCTGCCTTCAGACTGGACAGTGGACACAGAAACAAAGTCCATCATTTTGCTCCAGGCACAGCCCTGCCCCCAGTGTGGATGAGGAAGCCAGGCTGCGTTCTGCAGATTTTCTAGTGCTCTTTCATTGTGAGGACTATCACCCCCCTTAACCTGTCAGTAGACAACCTGAGCTAATAACCAGAGAGAGGAGGTGAGCAGATTTTTCTTTTAGTCAGCAGATGACTTCAGGGTGGATAAAATGAGGCGGCCTGCCCTTTACACCCCCAGAGAAAAGCTAATCTGCTGTGATGGTTGGTACTGGAGGTGCTTTAGGAGCCTGGCACAGTCAGTCAGCTCACAGGGTCCTCCCACCCTCCTGTTGCAGGCAGAAGTGCTGAACTAATGGGCTACCAACCTCACCTGATCAAAAATCCTCCTCCCCGCTCAAAAATGCCATTAAAGACCCCCGTGGTCCAGGACTGTCTTCCCCTGAGAGCAGGTGTGTTCTGCAGAAGGGTGCTGATACAAGAAGCGCCAGCAGGAGAAGGGGCACCAGCTGGGAGTCAGGAAGGAGGTGCCAGTCCCTAAGGTCCAGATTTGAAATGTTCACCTTCCTCCCGAAGCCAGCCAGGTTGGACCCTTCCAGGTTTGGAGACACAGGCAGGAGGTTTCTGCGGAAAAGCCCTGCTATCCCAAGCGGAGCGGAGGTGCTGGGACACCTCAGGGTTTCTCCCGGGGCTCCTGCTTCCATTTTAGGACCTAGGCCTTGAGAAGGGACTGGGGGGTCTCTGCTCTGGAGAAGAAGCCTGGGAAACTGGTAAACTAGAAGGATCGATGAGAAATACACAAGATGGTTTCCCACCCTCTGCCCCTTGGAAGGGAGGGGAAAGAGAGGCGGGGGAGGAGCCGCCGAGGCGGCTGGGAGGCCAACGGGCAGGCCGCCCTCCCAGCCGCGGCTTCGGGAGCCCCAGCCCTCGAGCCCTCGGGAGACGTGAGCGCGGCTGCGGGTGGGGGCGCGCAGGGGTGCCGGCCCCTCGGCTCCTGAGGCCCGGGCTTTCACCGCAGTCCATCTCCCCCCGCAGGACGGACCCTCAGGACAAACGGGCGCCCAGGCCTGCGGAGCCGGGGCGCGGGGACCCGGTGCCCACCTGGTGGACTCCGCCCCCCCAACCTGTGACCCGGCGGGCGGGGGCGGGGTGGGTGCTGGGGGCCCGGGACCTGCGCACCTGCACCCGGAGAGGACGCTGGCCCCAGCAGCAGCCCGTACATCTTCCCGGTTGGAATTAGTTAATTCGCCCATGAAACAAAAGGATGGTGGATCCCTCCCAGTTTGAGTTGCGCCCTCGCACCGGCTGTTGGGTGGCTGTGGGGCGGCGGACGCCATCGAGGAAAGGGCCACCACCGGTCCCCAGGGGCACAGGTGCGGCCTGCAGTGAGGGGCGGCAGACAGGCCCTCGCAGAGGTCGAGGTCCGGGGGCCTGGAAAGAAGCCAGGGCGAAGGCCGTGCTCTTGAGAAGTGATTTAAAGTCCTGAAGGCGGCAAGTGGGGGCAAGAATGGAACAGAAGGGGCGGGGAGCCTGGCCTGGAGGCCTTGCGCGCCGCCACCGAGACCCCGGGCCTCGCCCGGGTCGCTCTGCCAGCGCGGCGCGGGGCCCCTGGGCGCCGGGGGCTGCCCGGGGGGACCCCGCTCGCGCGCCCCGCGGACAGCACCTGGCGCCGGCAGGCTCCACTGCGGGCTCCCGGCTCCCTCCAGCCACGGCCGGGACGGGATCTCAAACAGAATTACAAATAAGCGCCCCGGGTGGCGGAAGGTGCCCACCTACCCCAGAGGGAGTTGCCAGGCGGCCGGTGGGGGGCGGGGGGTGGGCGGCCGCATTCCGGCCAGGTGTTTAAGACAGATGAGAAGCGAGTAGTTAAAACCCACATTATATAGTTCTGTCGGGTATAAAATTGCCTGTGCTGACCCATATATTCTAACTGGAAACGGACTCGAGTCACTTAAAATATTGCAACGTCGATAGGACTAATTAATTGGAAATAAGAAACGAAAGAATACAATTAAACGAGAAGAGAATCATTTTCTAATTTAATAGAGGGACATTTATAAAGATCACAAGCTAAAAGGCATCGAATGATTCTATCGACATTCTATTAAATCAGCCCCGGGGCCCCGGGCGGAGGAGGCGGCCCTGGCGAGCGCAGCATCTCGGCCCAGGTTCCGTGCGTCCTTGGACGCTCCAGCCGCCACCCGATCCGACACCGGCTCTTCCCGCTGAACTGACTCCGTCCTCTGCCCATGGCCAGGCCCAGACACTGGCTGTTGCCCACGGCTGGGGGAACCCTGCCTGCCCGCTTGCGAGGCCTGGGCTCGGATATATTACAACAAAATTACTAATTGGAAAATGAAATTGTCAATAAAGCATCCCCCCTCGCGTATACAGTATCCTTAAATATTAAGATATTTTATTAGACCCATTTCCTAACAATAATTTATTGCAATAAAACAGACACCACAGGTCCCCTTAAATTGTCTTTTCATAATGAATAAATTTAAGCGGGCTAATTAATATATAAACTAGCCCAATTTGTCAAGTTGATTTGTATTTTAGTTAATTGTGAAAGTAATTACCACACGGTCAAATTAACAGCTTTCTGGAAATGACCAAGCCTGAGGTTTTATTTCCTTCCTGGGTGAAGAAAATTCATTTTTCCAAGCTCTTGATGTGATGAATAAAAGTCATAAATCTGGGTGATTGGTGCAGGCAGAGTCTAAATGGCTTCATATTTCATTTTAGGTTTAATAGAAATATTCATGCTCTGTTTTAATGAAATTAAATTGAGGGGGGATGGGGTCGGGAGGCGATGGTGGCCCAGGGCTTAAAGGGACAGCACACGTTTTCCTCCCCCACGCCACCCGCCCACAGGCCAGGGCCTTCAGATCACCTCCCCCAGATGCAGATCTGCCCCTCCTGCCTTCGGGAAAGGCAGGCAGCCGCTTCTGCAACCAGCTCACCTGGGGTACAGATGAGGGCGGCTGCACAAGGTTCCCTTCCCAGATGCAATCCCAGGAAGCCCAGTGCTCTCTCGCACGTGCTTGCAGAGGTGGCTAAGCAAGGTCAGGGTCAGCTTTGGGTGTAGGTGTAACCCCGCCCAGATAACACCTTTCTGGCCCGTTGTCATCGCTTAGGCTGGTGGTGTGGCCGCTCAGTCAGTCCGCAGTCAGCAATCTTTCTCCTTCTATCACCTTGTGGGGATGCAGGTGAAGGGCATTCAGCCTGGGGACAGGCACCCTCACTCTGGGCCCCTGTAACTGCCACCTCAACTGAAAGGTGACCTGGCCCAAACCAGGACTGTCAGGGCCCAGGACGACCCGCCCAAAGCTCTGGGCTCAGAGGCCTCCCCTCGCAGGAAGAGTAGGTCTTCAGACCCAGCAAGTGTGCCATGTTCATTTGTGTTGTAGCGCTTGGAATTTAGGGGGCTGTGCTGTCAGCCACTCTGGGGGTGTGAGGTCAGGGGGCGGCCCCAAGCCCCAGGATGGTCCTGGCCCAGCAGCCCCTTAATGGAGCTGATCTGTGACTTGTTGATTTCCCCTGAGCAAATAAGGCTTTGATGCAGTTCCAGCAAGAGTGGTTAGCTGATGAATTGACAAAAACTAATCAGCTTTATTGGGAAACAGGTTAAGGGCACGGGCGTGTCAATAATTCTCAGCCTGACCCCCTCATGCATTAACCCAGGCGGGCTGATTAGAGTAAGAAGACCCGCTCGCATTTTGCACTGAAATTGCTTTCATAAACTCACCATTATTAGCAGTCGATGCGAGCAGCTAATTTAGAGAAGACATCCCAGGCATGTCACATCTATCATCCGGGTTTATGTATCATTATCTCATTTACAGAATGTCGCAGTGTAATATGTGTTTTTGGCAATAGGCTTGGCCCCGCGCCTGGATCGCGCGTCTCTTTTGAAGCAGCACCCGGGCCTCCTTCCCCGCCGGCCTGGAAGCCTGGAAGCGGCGCGCAGAGGGCGGGGAGCCCAGGACCTTCCCAGGTGGCCACGGGGAGCTGGGGGCTGCGCTGCCGTCCGCCGCCGCCACACACGTGTGCACACTCCAGACGCGCGTGCAAAGCCCGCACACGCACTCTCCCGCGTGCACACGTGCGCTCGCCGCCGGCCGGGGAGGTCTGTCCGGCCTCGGAGCCCGCAGGTGCGAGTCCGCGCTCTGCTCCGCAGCCCCTCCCGGCCTGGGCCGCTGAGCCCGGGGCCCCTCCGCGCCCTCCCGGCTCCGGGGCCGGGGCCTGCCCTTCCTACCCCTGGGCGGGTCGCTCCCCTCCCCCGGCGGCGGCGGCTCCCGGGCCAGATGCGCCCGGGCGTCCGGAGTGGGCCACCTGTTCCGCTGGGTAATTATTTTAATGTAAGGGCCCCGCGTCACCGGGTTCGCGCCTCCTGCGGCGACAGACGGCGGCTCCCAGCCTTTCAGTGGAATTTCCCAGATGGGCCGAGGGGAGGCCGGGGCGGGTCACCAGGGGCCCTTTAACGAGTTCATTAGCCAAATTATCTTGCGGGCCGCGCCGAGCCCCGGAGACCGGGAAGGGGGCGGAGCCGGGCGGCGCGTCTGTCTCCACCCCACGCCTTGGTCTGGGCAGAAGCCGTGCAGGGGCCCAAGAGGGGAAATGGCCCCATGTCACCGGTGTTAGCAAGAAGGGAGCCCAGCTCCGGGCGATGAGCTGCAGGCATTCCACCTCTCTCCACCCTTATATTCCACAGGCAGGAGCCCGGCTAGTCAAAGGCCAAGTGGGAAAAACTTATTAGAATCCTACAACGAGGACATTATCACTAATGGCCAATGTGACTGAGTGGGTTGGGGTTAAGGCCCCTCCCGGGGCCTGGAGGTCACGGCTGGCCCTGTGGCTGTGGGCTCTGCAGCAAAGCACCTGCGTTTCTCAGAGACTTGGGTGCCGGTCTGTAAGACTGGGGCACCCAACATTTTTCAGTTACAGTCCTTAGTGGGTGAGGCTCTGCAAGAGGGTACACTGAGCACACCATCCACTGTGAGGGCCTCCTGGCTGAGCAGGGGCACGACCAACCCCAAGCCTCAGAGTCCATTTCAAACCTGGCTTCCCAAGCTGTGCATGCTATGACATCAGCTTCACATTCCTCTTGGGTAAAGCATGTCCTGTTCCAGCTGTACGGTAGACAGTGGGTTCCCCATCCACTAGCTTCCTTCTGCCCCGCAGACCACACTCCCCCCTCCATAAGCCATTAGGAAACGTGGATGGGGCGTGGTGTGAGGGCGAGAAGCTGCTCTAAGGAAGGCTCCATGGGAATAACGTCCTGGGCAAGCCAGCCAAGTCCTACTTGCTGACAGACACCCCCCCCGCCCCCAGCCAAAGTCCACTCCAAGCCTGAGATCCATCCCTTGGTCCTCGGGTGTGCACCTGGGGGCTGGGTGGAAAGAGAACTGGACCACAGGCACCATCTGCCCATCTGGGGAACATCCCCCAGCTCTGGGAAGTGGCTTGAGAAGAAACTCATCCTCCCCCTCTCTCTCCTCCCCTCCTCCTCCCCTCCCTGCGCAGCCTGCACCCCAGCTTCTGCCACCTCAGCACTACTAAAGAGACCAATTAGCGGCTCCTTCCTGCCATTATCCGCCATGGATCTGGACATTACCGGGCTACTACTCAGCGATAACTTGGAGTCAGAAGGCACTCACGAGTCCACATACCAAAGCATTAAAATATCACAAGCGGCATCTTGTTCTTTGTGCGTCTCCCCTGTATCCTCCATCCCCGCAGGTCGGTAGGGACCCTCCCAGCTGTGGTGGCCTCCTCGGGGGCCGCATGGGCTCTGGACCCTCTGTGGCAGCGGCAGCAGCGGGGATGGGGCTGCCTGGGCACAAGGTCCCAGAACTGCAGCGCGGAGCCTTCTGCCTCTAGACACGTTTTACAGGGGACATCGCACAGCTGGGCTCCTCTAAGACAGGTCTCAAAACAAGAAAGCCCCTAGGCTCAGACGCACTCCCTTCAACGTGCAGGTTAGGTGTTCACTTACCTGGAGAGGGGTGGTGAAGGTTGCAACACTGGAATGGGGGGAAGCTGACTTCGCGGGCGTGTGTGTTCTATACCTTGTTCCTGACAACAGTATGAAAGAGTGATGCTGAAATTAAATTAAATTAAAATCTTCTAGCAAAACTACAAGCTACTTGGGGGAGGTTCTTCATCTCTGCTGAAGACCGTCGCCCTCCAGCTTGATTTGAGGGGCTTACGTGGACTTCCCCCTGTACTCCCCCAGTCTTGGGAGGAATTTCTCTTTGTAACCCGGAGCTTTGAATGCGTGCCACACAGAGGCTGGAAACACTCGGATTGCTTGCTGGGTCAGAAGGAAAATAGCAGGTGGATGTGGCCTGCCTCCCCACAGGGGCGGGGGCTGAGCATGCCCCCCCCCCCAGCCCTCCACCCTCACCTCACAGCCAGGCCTGTCCCCTCTTTGGTGTCCACAGAAGCTGAGAGACTGCCCAAGGTCTGTGCGTAAAGCAGATACTTTTGTGTCTGGAGAAAATTTCCAAAAATGTAGGGCTCTTAGGTTGCTGAATGTTTAGGCATTTACATCATGCAGCATCCTCCTGACGTCTTAGCCAAACCCCAGCAGTGAGCCCCGTTTCTGCTGGTTGTTTGCACAAGGCCTGTGGCGGGATAGACAGGGACAGACCCAGCCGCAGGGACTTCGGAGGTGGGCTGGGTTAGGGTCAGGCCGGGAACTGTGGGTGGCGATCTCGAAAGGGCCACATGAAATCCAGGTGTGAAGGGCGAAGCTGACCTGGAGGGGCCTCAAGGAAAGGTTGGGACAGCTGCTGCCAGCCCCCCCCTCTGGTGGAGCGGAGGCTCGGGCCCACCCTTTCCAGATCCCCTTGCCGGTGGAGTGTCCCGGGTCAGGAAGGAGGTCAGCAGATCAAAGGGCAGCACTAACTACGTGATACCTTTAGCCCTCGGGGCTCTGCTGGGGGGGGAGGGGACACCTGTGCGGTCTGCCCCTCCTCCCCTACCCCCCTCCCCCGCACTCGCCTTCCAGTGACCCTAGGCCTGGCTCAGGTCCCCAAGGAGGCTCTGGACACCGAGCACGTCCCAGGGCTGCAGGGTGGGAAGGGGGTGTGCACAGGGACTCTACCGGGAAAGTCTGGCTGCAGCCCCCAGGGCCCAGTGCCCTCCCAGGTGGTCTCAGGGTAATCTCCTGTACCTGCCCCACTGCCCCATCAAGAAAGCAATATGTACGTGATAACCATCCATGCCTGCCTCCCACCCTCTGCGTGTTTGAATATGTTTTGTTCCCAACTTCATACCTACATTATTCCAGACACAAATAGACATGGGTTACAAACGTCTTTTTTGGGATGGGGGTCTGGGGTAACCAGGTGACGGGCACTAAGGAGGGCACTTGATGGGATGAGTACTGGGTGTTATACTATATGTTGGCAAATTGAATTTTAATAAAATATTTTTTAAAAATCCAAATGTCTTTTTTTGCAATTGTTGATATAACCACAATTCTCCTAAGTAGTAGGAGAAGGGCGCCTGCAGGCAGTATTCAGTATCTCGAAGGGAGACCGCGTGGAGAGAGAAAGGGTGTCGTGCCAGGCAGGGAAGGGGCCAAGATGAAAGGCACACCAAGCCTTTGCTGCTCACTCGGGAAACAAGAGTTTCCCCATCGTCCCAGGGCTGCCTACTGCGCTGGGGCTGCTGGGGACGGAGTCACCCAGAGACAGATTCAGAGTATTGCTGGGACCAGACCTTTGATCTCTGGCTAGGGCCCTCCAACAGACGTAAGCCCTGCTCCTGTCAGCCCAAAACCTTCTTCAAAGCCAGCTGGGCTGGATCAATACAGATGCTGGAAACAGGAAGAGCCCCAGTGCGCTCCGCTTCACACCTCATAAACCACACAAAGACCCCAAACTTCCAAGACCTCTCCCTCTTTCTCTGCCCCGTCTCTTTCCGTACTTCACAGAAAACCTCCACTATATATTCACTTTTTTCTTAACACACACGGAATATATGATAATTTTAAAGCCCTTTAGCCCCATAGAGTGCATTGGTTGAACCTCGGCTTTTCTAAATAAAGAAACAGAAATCCATAAAAATAAAGGAGCACAGCAGTCAGAAGGGTGGCCAGGACCAGGACCCACGGGGCGCTTAGTGCTTCTTCCACACCTCCCTGGGCACCCCCCATAGGTGGTGTG